CAGTCAATGTGATTGGAGCTTGGTTCCTGGTTTCCATGCTGAACACAGAGCTTAGTTTTAAAAAGAAAAAAAAAAAAAAATCTTTTTTAAAAAGAAAATGAAAAAGAAAAAAAAAACATAAGCACCAACATTTGCTCTAGCTTTAAACACGTCTCAGAGCTGCTGGGCCATGGATTGGTCGGCGGCCCCTGGAGTCCAGAGTGAAGAACGCGGGGGCTGCTGGTGGCCTCAGCGGGCCACCTGGAGGCGTAGCAGCTGGGGATCCTCTGGTTCAAGCGACAAGCTGGAGCCTGGGAGTCCACGGAGAGTCTGGGGCCCTGGGCCAGCAGGGCCAGCTTGCTCCACTTGGACAGGAAGGAGCCACGACCCGGGCACGCGGCCCCGCCAGACCCCACCCCTCGCCCTGACCCAAGGTTCAGCAGATCTGCCTCTGACCCAGGACCTCTCCTCGGCCGTCAGCCCCGCCGGCAGGTGAGCGCCTCTCACACAAAAGCGTTCCAGCAAACGTCCTCGTACTCCCCGTCCACGGAGGCCACTGCCTGCGGGGACAGCGCCCCCTCCCGGAGCCCCGCACGAGCAGGATTTGGACATCCTGCCTTCACTTGCAGGCCAGGACGGCCGAGTTCCAGCTCACCTGACGTGCATGTCCACGGCCAAAGCGTCGTTTGATTTCGGCTGCGGAAGCGAGTAGCCTTTGCTCTGCAACGCCACGTAGCCCTCTGGGCTCCACACGGGGGCCGGATCGAGGGCGGCCACTTTCCTCTCTTGCAGCGGGGGCACGCAGTTCTGGTCCTCAGAGCGACAGCCAGTCCCACCGAGGGAGTCTTGGGGCATCATGGGTTTCATCAGTCCTGAAGGAGGCACAGGCAAAGAATCACCCTGCATCAGCCAGTGCAGAGAGCCGCACTCCAACCTCGGGGGCAACCCAAGGCCCGAGGGAGACCGTAGTTACCAGTTACCCTATCAGGCGGACACAGCACCCCACCTGCTCGCCATCGCCGAGCCCTCCGTGTTCTCTCAACACGGAACCTCTGAAGGCGCACGAGCACGCGACGGGAGGGGTCTACGGATCCATTCTAAGACCTGTGAAGTCCAACCTGAGCTCCCCCCCATGCTGAAGAGTGCCTCCAACTGGCAAATGGAAACTGGAAATATCTAACTAGAGAGCCCATCACGCCAGCAAAAGGCTAGAGAGGTCAACCCGTTGGCCACGAGGGTCTGTGTGCGGGCAGGGACGCTGAGGTCTCCTGCCCAGGCGCGAGGAAGACCAGCCGTGTGGCCAAGAGGCACACGGACCAAGAGCTGCCGTCTGCAGGCTTCAAACCCCGAGCAGCAAGCCTTAGGAAGGGATTCTGGTTTCAGTTTTTTTTTTTTTTTTTT